GTTAACTGTGAGAAAAGTTATTTCTGCATACTTTATGTAAAATATATTCGAATCTTTGAGGGCATTGAAAGCCACTGGACGGTTGCATGCTACCTAAATAGTCATTTTGTATGATTTTTTGGGTCTGTCGCACGTAAGTTAGTTCAAAAACCGGTATCTGGGCTTTATTGATTTATCTTGCGATTACGCCGCACGATAACCACTATTTATATAACTAATTTTTCTATTCGAATACGCATTTCAGAATTTCAGTTATGTTTTAACCCCCTGTACAAGCCCCTTGCGTTCGCCTGTTACCTATCACAGACTTACGTCCAATGAGCTCTCGTCCTAATTGCACAGCTGTAGAAGTCTGGTTGTTACTGTTATCGATTTGTACAGCATGTACTCCTTGTCGCATCTACTAAGCAAGTTCCTCCCTCTGTTTTCGCTACTGAAAGAGCCAATTATTGTCTCTCATTAGTGTCTTGCCTTCCGTGTGACATCTCAGTTCTTTAGCTTCTAAATTGGGCTTTCGACTATTTTCAGAAGCTTGCAGCCTTAAAATTGTGGTCAGACATTCGGATTTCCTTCCATACGTTGGAGACCTTTTGCCCTGCCCGAAGCGTAACTCTACTCTTGCCATACCTATTCGTCCTAAAATGTTCCGACCTCTAGCTTTCCCCAACGCAGGCTACTTTGATTCGAACACGCTTTCGTTGTTTTCTCTGCTAAACCGTCTTTGCTTATTTGATAGCTATTATTAGTCCGACATTTCAGCCCAACGCCTTTCGCAATTGTTGCCGCGGACTGCGGACAAAGATAAGGAGCAGAGTTGCATCGATTAGCCAATCATGCCGCGCGAGGCAGCCAGGCTGTCTGACCTGCGCGCCCTAGTCGGACGTTAACGAGCTCTCTGATTCTATGGCTTTGAGTATAATCTGTTGGACATGTCTTATGTAGCTGCTCGAGTTCTGAATAAATACCTTTTGCAAGACTCCACAGGCGACAGACAGCCTACTCACCTTCGTGAAACCGCCCCCTTCCCCTCTGCGCACGAGAGTTGGAAACTTATACTTTCATCCAGTCTACATTACCAATGCCATACTGCCAGCCTACGGCGTTTGCATAATTCTCTTCCCACTTATGAAATTGGCCATTGCATATAATCTCTGTTCGTGAGGCGGCCGAGTTGTTACATGGATAGGCCGTCTCCTGTCGTGTTCCATATTTAATCGACTGTCAAGCCAGGACACCCTGCATCTAAAGGTTTGTGGACAGAGTCAGCCAGACTGGTGCATCT